AAGGGAGATGACCTGGAGAAGCCTACTCGTCCTGTCTTCTGAGGTTTGCCACCAACCTGCTAATTGTCGATTGCTCTCAATCCACTATAGTCACTCTCCTCTCTGAACCACCCCCCCCCCCCCCACACACACACACGCACACCCGCACACGAAAAAGAACAACAACAACAACATACCCAGTATAATCCCACAGGTGGGGGCACCCACACGAAAAAAAAAGAAGAAAAAGAAAAAGCAAGAATTAATGTGGTTCGTTTCATCTGCTAGGATAGCTGTTGGTCACCACGCTAATGCTATTTAATTCATTTGTATTATCCGTTTCTTCAGTGTCCTATTTCTTCTGATTTACCGTTTACGAACGAAGTGTACTCCCTCTTCCTGTATGCATAATGCAGTTTGGAAAAAGTTATATTTGTTTCTGGGTAGTAATCCTCGGATAGACTAGTGATCTCTAATAATATCTCATAATGCCCATATACCAAAAGTTATATTTGTTTCTGGCTCATCAAACCAGCAAATGTGGTGGGGAGCGTCATTTAGACTTGCACCATCAAATGGTGCATGTTGCATAATATACTCATTTGGGTGCAGCGTACTGACTATTGATTGGATGTGACTGAAGTTATTACTTGATAGCTTATTTCTTCTGTTTGTTAAAATAGACTTGTAGGAAACAATAAATTCGATGGCTTTAATGGAGTAATCTCTATCCTTAAGTAACATAAGCCCCCACTATGTTGTTGCATGAGTTTGTGGTAGAATTCCTCTAGGATTTACGTAGACAAAATCTGAATCCAAGTTCAGCAATAACTTGAATTTCCCCAGGAACAAGTTTTGAGTTTTGAGTTTTACTGTTATAGAATCTTTTGGGAAGAAATCAGGTATTTATAACACTTTTAGGAATCTGCTAAAAGATGTCTTTCAAAGCAGACAACTTTTTGACACACACTTCCAACTGTCACCTTTTAAAATAAAGTTACCTTCTCTTCTAATTCCAATCGCTAACATTATCAACTTTGATTTTCAGATGTTCAGGTACAAAATTAAACTCAGTGATGCACGTAAAGCATGGATGAAGAATCCTGAGGTGTTGCCCAACTGTTCAACGGGCTTCCATTTGCCCCCTGAGCATGATGATCTTTCCCAGGTTGGAATATCAGACCTGATGTGTCTATACACTAGGAAGAGACTGTCATTAGGGGTCTTAATATGCTTTTCTTTTTTCTGTTTCGCAGGAATACGTTTCACCACTCAAGTTGCTGCACTTTTATCGTACTAATGTTTCTATCTGAGCCAATATTCTAAGAGGAACATTGACAAGAGCATTCACAACTATGATATGTGTAGAATGAGACTTTACAGCTGTGATATGTGTAGAATGAGACTTTACAACTGTGATATGTGTAGAATTTAAACCAATTGTTGCTAACCTTTTCTGTAAATGTCACGTGCTTGTTGAGACTACTGTTGCTAAAGTAGTTGTGTATACATTGTAGAGATGAATTTCTTACAGCAGATTGTTTTCCCATAGAAGTATGTAAACCTGTTTGCTAAAGATGCATGTGAAGGTGTTTGGATTGGCTTAAAAGCTGGTCAAATTATAGCTTAAACGCACCTTTTACATAACAGAGTTGGGAAATACCAACTTCTTTAGGGTTGAGGTTATATCAATTTTGGGCCATGGAGCTATGCTACTATCTGTAATCTGTTGAATATTTTTCACATGTTCAGTTCTTTTGGAGTCAGAAGTTGATTGCTTCAGAACATCTGTTGGTGCAAACATAGGACTTTGTCACGATTTCGGATTCTAAGAGCTCATTTCTGCTTTAAATTATCCCAACTATGTTTCCTACTCAGTGTATTAGATGATGATTAGTATATGGTGCAGGAATGTTTTAATTGTGCACCTGATTGCAAGGTTTTTACTCCGTCCATCTTAATTTGCTAAATGTTTGAGTACTCCAATTCTTAAACACACAGGTTTATGAATATTCAATGAAATCTTTACTACTTCAAATTTAACACTTAACGAATGTTTTAATTAACTAATCATAGTCAGGAAGGTAACCATCTTTTGTACGGATTCTTTAGGGGGTGGGGCGTCACACATTTCCCTTAATTGAACCCTCTCAGCTGTGATTTTTCTTGTGTAGACCTTTGGAGTTAAACACTTTAGAACACTTAGACAAATAAATTAACCTTGGAATTGTTATGTGGCGATTCTGTTTAATTAATTAACGTTTAACTTGCAGATCAAGTGTATCTAGGATCTAGCGGTGCGTTTGATCTTATTATATGTACTTTTTTGGCATATGTATATATAGTTCAAATTGAAAGTAATTGATTCACTTAAACCCGTAAACCTGCCCTAAATATGCTTTTGTTGGTTTGAAATGAAATTGCTGATCTATTAATTCACCGCAAAAAGATTCTCGAGATGTTCCATATTTTAGGGCGATTCCGATATAATGCAAAACTAAATGAAATTGACCTTCTTTCAAAAAAAAAAAAGGAAGCTTTTTTAAGTTGAAAAAATTAATAGTATCTCAAAATGGATTGTCCATTATTTTGATTTGGAAAAACTTTTCTTCTATGAAATATTATTTTTCTATTTACTTATTATTTAGTAAATTATTTTGCATTTAATATAGTCAAACTAGCCGTTAACTGGCCGTTGGAGCAACACCTATATAAACATGGTCTTTGAAGAGCTAAAGACATAATTTTTTGACTCAACTTTCTGAATCTTCTTCTTCCTCCTATATGCTGAGTTTCTTTATTGAATTTTCTGCTATTTTTGTTCCATTTTAATAACGAGAAGAGCTTGTTGAATCTTGGGAGATACGCCTAATTTATTCTTTATTGTGTAGGCAAAATATCCTTAAGGACAGGGTTCTTGACATGCCTCAAGCTTTGATAAATCCTATTCTCCATACTCAATTTTTCCAACAATCTTAAGGATATTTACACGTTATTATGGAGAATACTAATTACAATATTTCCGCTGATACTCCTATGCTGGATGCACAAATTATTCTTGTAATTGTTCTAATTCCACTTGGCGGTATATCGATGTTCATCCATCTTTTCTTCAGAGAAGGTAAAGGTTGCAATTGTTCAACTTAGCATATTCGTCGTATCAATGATATCGTCGTATCAATGATATCGTCGTATCAATGATATGGAATAAATCATCAAGTGCTCAATGTTGATAACTTGGTATGTTTTCTCTCAGTTATTTATAATTTTTGGTGAAATGGTCACTACAAGAATTTTGATTTTTAACGACCATTTTTTAACGAAGGGGTATGAATTTGGTCGTTATAGTTGTATCAATAGCGATCACATTTTTTTTCCGGTCGTTAAAGTTCATTTTTAGTTTAATATTAACAAAGGGATAATATTCGGTCCTTAAAAGTTATAAATCCGATCGTTAAAAATAAAAATAATAAGAAAAAATAACGCTAACTTTTCCGATTTTCCCCCCAACTCACGATCAGCTCACCCTGCACGTCACTTTCCCCTCTTTGTTTGCCCAACCCACAATTTTCCAAACCCACTTTTCTTTCTATTTTATCATGGGATCACTTGCAATTCTCTAAAGCATCAGACTTTGTGTTCCTCTCTACAACCTAGGGTTTCATTCTTTCTTCTTCTCAAGGTAAACTCTAAACTTGCAGTACTATTGTGAAATTGGTTACTTTTTTTTTTTTTATATATTCCAATTATCTGTTTTTTAGGTATTGGTTCTTCTTCTAATTACATGTTCTACAATTTTATAATTATATGTATATTTGTAAGAACATTCGCCCTAGAAACTTGAATTGGCCGAAGAGAAAAAAGTGACGATGGGGTTATAGAACTCTCATTGGTGTTGTTGTCTTTTTCAATTCAATAAGAATTACTATTAAAAGGATTGATTGATTTCTTAAACAAATCTTCTGAGATAAAGGTGCAATTTACTCCATTTTTTAATAGGAAAGTAACTTACATTGCTGATGAATGTTAGGAGTTTCTTTTTTTTTTTTCTTTTTTATTGAATATTGTTCGTTATATGTCAACTATGTGTATTCTCTTGTAGAGCAGATTATTTTTTAACTAGGTTTTATTTTGAGGAAAATCATAGTTTTATCGAGACAATATGTTTCTCATATCTGGTTGTGATTGTATTATAAAATTGTTTTGGTGATATAAGAATTCTCTAACTTCCTCTCTAATTGTACTAATTGGAAGGGGAAAAAAACCATTTTTCTCATTTTTGAATTGATATTACCTGTTTTCTTGGCCTTCAATGACTATTCATGGTTTATGTATAGCAACGTTCAATCATAATTATAAGAGTTGTATAATTTCAAGTTACTTGGTAAAAGTTCCTGAAGTAATTCACATCATGTGCATTTTCTTGCTTCAAAGCTGCAGTCCCGTGAGAAAAACATTTGTCCTGTAGCTTGCAACAATTAAATGAAATAGTTGTCGAAGAGATCACTATAGCAGTATTACACTTTTGTAAGACAAAATCTAACAGCTATTCGCTGTGAGCAACCTTTTTCTGTCTAATGTCTAAACCATATCTAGTCTGCTTCCACTCAGAATGGACAAGAACAACTGCAATATATGCATTGCAAACAAAATAGTGTGCATGATAAATAGACTCAATTGTATAATTTGAAGATCATACACTACAATAGAGCTCAAAAGATGGCAAAAGTTCAATCAAGAATTAGTATCAGCTGGTTGATCAAAAGGCTTGTTAGAGCTTCCTTGTTCCATTTTAATCTGTCCTCCATCTATCATTACAGAACCTGAATTTCCACCCTGATAAAACTCATTCAATGAGAAAATTGTTATGACTATGCAACTTGTTTTCCATTTATAAATGCACAGATAATGCTCTAAACCATCAAGCTTGTTGATTCTGCAAATGTCGACTCTACTTCTCTTAGGCGCTCCTCTGTTTTCATGTCTTCCTGATAATTTGAATGAAAACAAACTATTAGTATTGATGCAGCTCCATATGGTATCAGTAAACAAAATGATCGACAAGGATTAAGCAGGAATGAAAGAAGACATCTCATTTAAGATCTTTAATTTTCACATATTAACAAGGATTTTTGAATCAGTCCTGCAAAATATAATGTCATGTCAAGAACGATTATGTGTATAACTCAGTTTCTTCTTCTTTTTCTATCTCTGCTGATTTTTAGACATTTGTAAATGAGTTAAATGTTCATCTTTTTAATCCATCTTTCAAGGGACTTATTCCAATAATACCATCAAAGAATAGTAAACTAATAGTACTGGTTTCTCTCAGGGAAGGCACAAAATACTTCACTGTTTATACCCTTGTTTGGTTCCTGTTAGGGGGTATTTACTTGATGGAATTTGGTTCGTCTCATTTAATATAGTGGCGTTATCTGTTCTGGTTATAACTCACTTCCAATTTTCTATCTGGTTCATACATTAGCGGACAAATACCAGTATGCAACAATTTTTTATCCCTCATGTCCATTTTGTCATTGCAGTTTTAGTATGTTGAACTCCTTTTTTCTTTTACATGTTTCCCTTATGTTCTGTTGAATCAATTACTTGTCTGGTAGCATCTCTTTGACTGTAAACTTTACTATTTCTTCATGGCAATGGAATCTTCGATATTGGGATATTAGAGCGCACACTACAATAATTCTGAACTCTAGTAAGCCTCCCCTTTTCTGCAGAAGCAATAATAAAGGATCAACTGGAGTTCTTTTGTTGCATTTCATGTTATTATAAGTTATATTCAATGATGTATGCAGTATTTGACATAGATTTTCTTGCATATTTAATGTCACTTCTTGCTGACTTAGTTACTTTAGTATCTGGTATGTCTAGTTCAAACGCCTCCATTTTGACAAAACCATATTGATCCTTAAATAACTTCAGCCAATTCTTGAATTGAATTTGACTTTTATATATGAAACCAATTCAAGAATCAAGAATATAAGGTTAATAATGGAAAATAATATTTTCATTTGATACACACAATTAAATTTTTATTTTTCTAGTTTATAAGATAAGTTTAATATTTAAAGATACTTGTGAAATATTGTAGGACAAATTTGACAGTGATGATATAAATGATCAACGAGATCATGTCTTGAAACATATGAGAATTTATGGAACAATTGGAGAGGAACGATGCACAAGAATATTAAGTCTAAGCCATTCCGTTATGCTCTAAAAGATGTGCCAGAGGGGGTAGACAAGAGTGATTGGGAATGGCTAGTCAAGGAGCATTTTCTTACTGAAAAATTTAAGGTATGATTTCATAACTATTTATTAACATTGTCTAATATTAAGTGGCTAACTAGAATTTTGCCGGTATGTTGTTAATTTAGGAGACAAGTACAAGAAACTCGGTCAATAGATCTAAGTTGAGTATGCCTCATCGTACGGGTAGTAAGCCAATTAGGGAGATCATTAATGAATTGGTGAGTAAATCTTATAATTCTATTAAGAAACCTCATCTTTGTTACAAAGATTTCTTTGACTTGTTTATTTAAATGTGAAGGGAGGTAAAGATGGTAATCCACCAGATGTGGCAACTATTTTTTTTGAGACTCGTAAAAAGAACAACAAGCTTGTCGAACCTGAAAACAATGAGAAATATGTATGTTTATTGATAAATTTCATTTTACATTATTTATTTACCGTGTTGTATTATTTTGATTAAATTATTATTCATTTTACAGGATAAAATCAAAGAATTGGTGCAATCTGAATCGTCTCTTACAAACATTGAGGTTGTAGAACGGTGCTTCGGACCTCAACGAAAGAGCCATATAGTTGGATTTGGTGGTGGGATAACCGCTAAGGAGTTGAAAGGTGGTAACTCCTCTAAAGCTGTATTGTTGGAAAAGCTGAATGCTACTCTAAAGAAAATGAATTACTAAAAGGACGTTTGGATGGGCTAGAGAGTAAATATGATGAGCTAGGGAGTAAATACGCACAACTTGCAAAAATAGTGTTTGATCAGCCTTCATCACCATCTTCAAGTGATCAATAGATTGAATCATTTAACAGGTTAGAAGATTGAAAATCCTATTTTACTATGTGATGAAAATATTGCAATGCTCGTGTGAATTTTATCTTTATGTCATTAAGGTTTATGAATAAATAAAAACATAGTCAATGAAACACGTGATAAGCAAGAATGAAGTTTCAAATATTATGTACATATGTAGGTTACAATCAGGGGTGGATCCACTTAGTATGTTTTGGTTCACATGAACCCATTCTCCGACCCAACATTCAGTACTATGCTGTACATAGAGACAGTACTTTAGTTTCTCTAATCCTGTATCCTCGCGTTGCTATAGGAATCTAGATGAGAATTATGAAGAAAAGAAGAAAGAGTTTCCAAATTGGGTTTGCAGTCAGCAACTTTGATCTTTGTGTTCTATATTTCCATTTAAGCTTAACTGATCTTGAATTTTGATTGAAAGATTCATTTGATATTGTGCATTTTCCTATATTCTATCTTCTACCCGTTGATCCAATTTATATGCGACATTTTCTGTTTTGGGATGCCCCAAATATGATTTTCAAAAATTCAAAATAATGTTCAACTAATTATTTGAATTTGAACTCTGATGAGATGCTATTCTATCAAACTGACTTTTCAAGAACTATTCAAATACTTTTATCCGGTGGTTAGCGCTGATGTGTCTTAGCAACTTGTAGTATCTCCTTTAATTTTGTAATTTATACTACAACTATTGTTGTCTAATTATTGAATTTTGTTAGCCTTTTGCAACCCAAAAAACATGGAGCCTTGCCCTTGAGTTGTTATAGTTCAGGTGTTAATCACTTGAAGAAACTGTAGAAAATAATTCATTTCCTTTTTAATGCTTGAGCGGCAAAATTAATATCTATGCTTTCCAGTGAATGCTCAGTGACAATCTCAATATCAGCGCCTGGTGTTCTTGTTATCACAGCAGCAGCAAATGTTGTTAGACCTCAGGTGGTTAGCGCTGATGTGTCTTAGCGACACTAGTAAGGGAACTCTAACCATTCCAAGTTATAGAATGAGCGTAAAGGGTCCAGTAACTAGGATTGCAAGCAATTAAAATTGTGTTCATCCTGAGACGTTCATTTAAGATGTTAATGTTTGTTGTTGGTTTTATGTGAAACAACAAAAATTAATAAGGGTAAGAGAAACGAAATTACTTTATCGGCAATTAGTTTCGACAGCAACGTGATTCATTCTTTGGTTCTAAATCTCTCCTATTGGTTCTTGGTTTTCTTCTTCTTCTTAATCTGTAGAATTTCATGAAGCTCTATATGGGATTTGCTTCCCAGAAGTCACACTCATTGTGCAGGTTCTAGTGTGACAAGATTGGGTTATGTATAACTATCATTTAGTCATCTTACTATCATTGTCTTCAGATATAGGAAATTTAATGTGTCGTATTCTTGCTACAATACTATATGTCGTTATGTCATTTGATCTTTGTATTTTTTCACTTCCTTGTTTATAACCATCAGTGTAGCCTTTAATGGATCTAATTTTTTTTCTTTAGTTGTTTATTCTTTGTGACTAATGGCATAAATTTGTTGCTTTAACAGATCAAAAAATTGAAGTCCGAAGAACCTATCCTTGAAGAAAGTGTAAAGCAAGTTGAAGTATAAGAGGTTTTGGTTCGTCAGCGATGGTTTAAAGACACTGTCTTATCATGTACATATATATGCTGCAATTTTACTTTCTCTTTTTAGGAATTGTTCAAAATGATGCTTGACTCACCTCACTTTATGCTTCAAGTAGCCTCCTGGCTGATTTGCATTATTTTTACTAAGATGGGTTTCTTACGAATTGGATTGGTTTTTGGTAAATATGATACTTTAGTTCTTTGTATTAACAAGATATCAAGTATTTGATTTATTTCCAATGTTGTTGAGCGTGTATGCAAGCATATAAATAATAATTATTTTTCATTTAATTTAAATTTTCTTAATTATATTTATTACATTTTCATATTAGCGTAAAAAAATGTAGTCATTAAAACTCTTTAACGACAGGTTTCTCAAACAGATAAATGACTATTAACGAAGAGAATTTTGGCTGTTAAAAGTGATTATACAATTAACGAAGGGAATATCGGTCGCTAAAAACACTCGAATTGACTTAATACGTTGTTTCCATTAAAGACTTTCAACGACCGGATAAAAAATTAGCGAGGGAAAAATTCTGTCGCTAAAAAGCACGAATAACGACCGGAAATTATGCTGTCGCTAAGGAATCCTTAACGACCGGATTGTAAACCGGTCGTTAACTTTTAACGTCGGGACTTTTAACGACCGGTGACGACCGGATTTTTTCCGGTCGTTATCAACTTATAACGACCGGATTTGGACTTTTAACGACCAGATTTCCCTTCGCTAATGGCCCATTTTCTTGTAGTGGGTATTTATTCTTTTTGTTCTCTTTTAACTATCACTACTAAAAAAATCATGTTTTAGCGATGGATAAATTCTGTAGCTAAACAGAAAAATTCGTCGTTAATCAAATTTAGCGACGGATTATCAAGAAATTCTGCTAGCTGCGAGCGTTTTAGCGACATATTAGCGACGACGTTCGTAGCTAATTCCAGTTTTTTTTGTAGTATATGAGATTTAGTTTTATTTTGGTTACCATTCACCTATATAAAAATTATATATAATTTTAATTAACTAGAATCTTGATTGTATAGTATGTGGTTCAGTTTGTTTGCATTTTATCTGCTCAGTTGATACATATAAGATCGAAGAAAGTGACTCTCTTAAGTTTCTGTGAATTTTATTTTTTGAAATGATGGAAAGGTCATGTTGTACTTTTGTATCCATTAATCTTTAAAATGGTGAAAAAATTATGTTAAGTTGATCTAGTGGAAATGATATTAACACTCTATTTGGATCATTGTTCCCCATCGTTTTATAATGTATTGTATTGTATTGTATCGTATCATTTTATAAATATAATGTTTGGATAGATTGTATTGTTTGTTACTGTTAAATAATATTTTGCTGTTTGGTTTGACTGTATCGTACTGCACTGTAATTGATAAGTTTACTAAAATACCCTCAATTATATATAAATATTAAATTTATCAAAAATTATGCATAAAAATAGTTTAAAACACTAGAAGGCAACACACCTTAAGAAAGCAGAACAAAGGAGCGAGACAGAAGAAGGCAAAACAAAGGAGCACATCTAGTTAGAATTGAGTTAAAAGCAAATTAGGAGAAAAAAATAAAACAGGAGGCGGCAAAACAACTTTAACGTTGGCGGCAGAAGTTCTGGAAAAAAATAAAGTAGGTTATAGGTTGGAGATTTGGAGTTAAAATAGATAAAAAAGGTAAAGGATAAAACAGAATTGTGGAGTAATAAGTTAGGACATAATTGGAAAGAAAAATAGGAAACAATCCCACCACACCAAATCGGTTGTTTAAAAAAAGGGGAGTTTTTATTGTTACGGAACAATGGATTTAACAATACAATACAACCAATTTCAGTTGAACAATCAAAACAAATATTATTTTGGGATAACAATACAATACGATACAATGGGGAACAACCATCCAAACAAGCTGTAAGTTGTCTTACAATAGACAGATATAAAGAAGAAAAATCATCTACCTAGCTTATGTTTCTCATCTTATAAGTGTCATATCAATTGGATATATTCTACTTCTTTAATAACATTAACCCATCTTTTAATTAAAATATTACTTTCTTAAAATATTTATTGATGAGATATTGTATGGGTAGCTGTTCATAATCTTGTGAGATCTTAATATTTTTGCCTTATATTTATTCAAATATGACATAACGAGTTTTGTTTGAGTCATGATAATATTAATTTGTTCCTCTAAATGAAGTCATTTAAAATGATTTATAAGTGAAACATTAGCTACTCTAAGGTGCTACGAGGTCTTGATTCCTTTTGTATGAAAAATAATTAATACGAATAAACTTCTACGATGATGTGATGTAGTCAGAAATAATACATGAGATAAGACCTTCATATTATTCTGAATCTAATAAAGTAGCTAAATAGAAGAAAAATCTTCGGGGTGAAGCTATATTATTAGCTTGTTATTTATAAAGTAGAACTCTTTATGAGTTGTGAAAAGATTATCTCCTTAACCTGAAATTTTCAAAAATGTCGAGGACCGTAGTGTCCTGAGTTATATAGCCTGATCCTAAGAAGGAAAAATATGAGAAAAATTGCTTATCAATGTTATAATAAAGCCTTATAAAATTGAGATTATTTGTGGCAAAAATTTTGTATTGGAAGATCAAATTGTATTTCTCGCTTTAAAAAGTTATGTTGCTTCTGGTCTCTAAATCATTTGGGTGAAGAAATCGTTGAATTATGACCCGTTTCTTATTGATTTGAGATATTTCTGTTGAAGTTAAAGTTGCTTCCATATTTAAAAACTTTTGCTTTGGTACTTGACTATGGAGGATACAAAAAGAAAATAAATTCTTATGTGTTGAAAGACGTTTCAAATGGCACTTGTGCAGAAGTCAGGTTCTATTTCATTTGAGATGATTTTGTGCCTTACTCGAGAAATACTATGAGTTAATATTCTGTATGTGGATTTTCCATTGTATTAGAATGATACAGTGATGATATTGAATCTCTGATTCAGATGAGAAAAGCTCAATAGTGATTGTGTGATCACCTTTTGATGAGTGTTGTGGTATAAAAATTGCCTGAAAGTGAGGTTGATTAAGCAACCTCTTGGTGAGTTAAACCGACAATAATTATGTCGATAAATTGTGATTCCCAAGGCGCAATAACCATTGTAAGAAAATAAATCTTTCAATGAGAGGAGTAGATACATTTTCTTAAACTATAATGTCATAAAGCAATTGCTTAGAGATGAGTACATATTATCCGTAGTCAAAAAAGGATTTGGTCGATCCTTTGACTTATAAGTGAAATATCGAGGGGTTGAGACTTTTGCCAATTTGAGATATATCAACAATGATGGTAACCCGACCTATATGATTGAAGATCCTATGAAGTAGGTTCATATGAGTAATAACAAGTCATTAGTTGATAAAATATGCACTATTAAATTATGTCTCTTCCTATGGTATGTGTATATAGTGCAAGACTACAAGGAATGTGAGGCTGAGTTATTAAACTCTTAATCCAATAATCTATAACCTTTTATAGGTGGTGTATTGCACTGTAGAATATACTTGATGGATGGACCTATATGAGTGTGGAGTAGGGCCGCTCCTATGAAATTTGTGGCAAAATTACTAGAGCACTCATGAAAACTAGGCATGCGCATGGCCTATTAGCGCAAAACCACGATAACAACAGAAATGTGGGGGTTTAATATGATGAATAAGATCTCTAGCTTACGACAAGAACTTTTGGCTCATAGAAGTTATCAACTTCACCAATCATTCTGTAAGTTAAATCTTATTTTATCTATATCTGGTTCATAGTTTATAAGATGCCAGATAAATTTTACTATGCCTGAAACCCAGCAACATATACCATCTTTATTTATGTGACGACCCAAAGGGTCATCACTTGTTTTCTCTTTCATTCCGTGCTTCCGAGGCCTCAAAAACCTCATTTTTACTTGCCTCGATTTGCGTGCGCAGTCCGGGTGCGTAGCCGGAAAACTTAAATATGAATTCTGTATAAAAAAAAAATTGATAAATTTTGATATTAATATGATTAAAGTTGACTTTGGTCAACATTTTGGGTAAACGGATCCGGACCCGTGATTTGGCGATTCCGGAGGGTCCGTAGAAAAATATGGGACTCGGGCGTATGCCCGGAATCGAATTCCGAGGTCCCAAGCCCGAGGAATGAATTTTTGTGTGAAATTTTTTCTGAAATTAATTAAGGAAAATGGAAAGGAAATTTGATCAAAAGACTGTGATATCGGGCTCGTATTTTGGTTCCGACGCCCGGTACAAGTCTTATATGTGATTTAGGCGCTTTCTGTAAAATTTGGTTGAAATCGGACGTCGTTTGACGTGTTTCGGACTATAAGTTCTAAGTTTGAAAGTTTATGAAGTTTAGAAGAAAATCATGTGTTTTGAGGCTTGATTCTATGTATATGCTGTTATTTTGGTGACTTGATCGCACGGGTAAGTCCGTAGGATGTTCTTGAGGTTGTGTGCATAATTGGTGTGGAGCCCCGAGGGCTCGGGTGAGTTTTGAGTGGGTTCCGGAAGGTCTTAGGCTTAGAAACATTCTGAAGTTGCAGATTCAGGGGTTGCAGGCCCCCAACGCGCCCGCGGTCAATTCCGCGCGGTCAGAGCTGGAAGCCGCGCGACCGCGGTACATTTCTGTGCGGTCCGCGTGGCTTGGGTTCAGAGGGCCAAGGGGTAAGTCAACCAGCGCGGCCGCGCACCAAATCAGTGCGGTCCGCGCTGGGTAGGTTCAGAGAGTCGTTTTCCCTCCCTTCCTCGGCGCGGCCTCGGGGCATTTTTGTGCGGTCCGCGCTGGGTCTTCAGTAAAGTATATAAAGTCGGGATTTTCAATCATTTTTTCACTTTTTCAAAACCCAAAATATAAGTGGCGATTTTCCAAACGATTCTTCTTCTTCAAAACGGTTGGTAAGTGATTTCTAACTGATTTTCTATACTCCTTAACATCCTTAAACATAATTTCAACTTCAAAACATTGATTTTAATGGGGGAATTTGGGAATTTAGGGTAGAACTAGGGTTCCTAAATTTGGGGGTTTTGGACCTCAATTTGAGGTCCGATTCCAAAATAACTCACATATCTAAGTTCATGGTGGAATGGGTAATCGGGGTTTTGGTTCGAACCTCGGGTTTTGACCACGTGGG